TATATTATTATTTTTTTTTTGTGTAGATATATTATAAATATATGTTACACTATAAAGAGTATATTCATGAAAAATATTGTTAATACGCAAATTTTCTACCAATATCGTTCAATATAGTATTGCATTTTGTCAACTAATACATTGATAGAAGAATTTGTTAATATTTAATTAGCCGTATTAACAGTTAATAAATGATTTTCTAATATTGGATGATTTAATAAATATTTATCCAAACCCTTGAGTACAAAATGAGCATAAAAATTCCATTTTGAAAATATAGCTCCATAACTTCAATAGGAAATTCCATTAGATTAGGTAAATATTTTATTCAATACATGCAAAAATAACAAACTTATACTTATAATTATCATTCATCTCAACATAGAAATTCTTAAAAAAATTACATAACAATAATAATCTAATATTAATCCTTAATAATAGCTGATACGTTTTCTGATTTCTACAAACGTAAAATATGCAAACTATATATTTCATTATCAATCACTCAGTATGTCCATTTGTTGCACTCGCTTCAGCGGCGCTGATTATTTCAAAAAACTGGGTCTTTATATGTCTCTGCAGCATTAGCGGCAATTTTTTTGTGGAGCGATACAACGATTCAAAAAATGGCTTTAACTCATCTTCATGGTCAATATGCAGAGATCCACCGGGCGGGAAAATTGGCACAGAGGGATAATGATATTCGTTAAACACCGATTGACGACCAGAGGATGTTGATAGACGATTTTCATTAGACAAGTGTCGTGACCTATTTCTTCTTGATTCCGAAGATCTTAATCTCTCAGAAGAGTTTCCCCGCTCAATCGTTTCATAGTGATCATTCTCTGGCTCTTTTTTCATTAGGAACTGCACTTCTTCGTCTTCGTCGACGTCGATAGATTGTACAAAGGAGTATAAAAAATTTAGATCACGGTGATAGTTTGATTTTTTTGCTGGGTTTACTAAACCGCACTTATATCTTGCGCGAAGGTACATCCATTTTCTTTTAGCTTTTGTTCCTATAAATTAAAATTTCTGCTTCAAATTTTTTATTAGAAAATTTAGTTTAAAAATTATTTTTAAACTGATAAAAAAAATTAACTGGATTCGAGAGAAAAAAATTCTTGATCGAATTAATTTTTTAGGCTCAAGCAAATTCTACGTGATTTTAAAAATTTTTTGTTTAATTAAAAAAAAAAAAATTCTTAAAAATAATTTATTTTATGAAAGATTATTTCTTTTGATTCAAGGTAATTTTTTTAATAATTTTAATTGCATGACTCATGATGCGAAGCATCAAAGAGTGCTTTACGATCGAAAAATTTTTTTAATTTAATAATTTTCTTTAATTTACCAAAAAAATGAATTTCAATTTATAAAACAATGATATAAATTGAAAAAATGTTTTACAAAAAAAATTCTAATAAAAAAAAATAAATATTTTTTATAGTTTACTATGAATGAGTAATAAAAACTTACCATTTTCCAAACAACAATCTTGGGCTATTTTCTTCCAAACATTTTCAACAAAATCAGAACCGTACTGTTTTTTAATATTATGATCATACAAACACTGATTTTTACGCACATGCTCGATAAATTTGATAGTCGCCGGCTTTTTAGACAGCCGCGGAGCGATTGTCTCTTCCTCCATCACGCTCTTTATTACAATGTCGACTGCACTAGCAAACGAGCTGGTTCTCTTTGCGGTGTATCGTTAATAATGCATGACGTCTCAAAAACAGATCCAATGATTACGCAATTGCAAACTTTATCATTGGCAGTGTGTTTAATTAAAAAATTATATTAAATGTATAGCTATTCAATC